TCTCCTCTCCCTTGCCCTTGCCCTTGCCCTTGCCCTTGCCCTCCTCTTCCTCCTCTTCCTCCTCTTCCTCCCCTTCCCCTTTCCCCCTTCCCCCTTTCCTCTTCCCCGCCCGCAGCTTTTCCATTGGGAAATGCTATGAACCAGGCCATGTAGGTCAATGGTTAGAGCTGGGACTAAAAGGGATCTTGTATTCTAACTCAAATGGTTAGAAAGGGAGTCAGGGACTTCCGTGCCCTGCAGTTGGTTCACTGCATAGCTTGTGGGGGAAAAAAACCCCCACAATTAAACCACCATTGCCCAATTTCCCCTATTTATAGAGGGTGAAAGATGATGCTTTGACCAATGATGCATATGATAAAGTTCCTTAGGAGTGTGCAAAATGTTATCATTCTGCACTGCCTGACAAATGCGATTCCTTCTTTGTGTACAGTCACAGTATGTAATCGTGTACAAAAAGCTTTTCCATTTTGGAAATTTATAGCCTGCTTATCATGTTATGTGAATACTCAGAGCAGCCACTGCAAGCTTCTAATGCTCCACACCTTTGAATATTGCATTTTTGTGGAGTGGGATAAAATATTAAAAAGTGGTAAAAAGCAAAGTGCTTGATATGCCTTGTGACCAGTTTTTGTGGGTGTGTGCTGAGGCCGTGTGCACGGCAATATTTATAACCATACTAAAGCACAACTACCACCAGATATGTCAAAAATCTGTCAAAGTATGAGCTTTAAGGTCAGCATATGAATGGCAGCCAGTGTCAGACACATACTCAGTTGCTTGGTTATTGTTTATTGTTTCAGCAGAGTGGGGCAGACCCAAGAGAGAGATAGATGAGGCTTTGTGTGTAGTCTAGAATAGGCACGAAGGGTACTTCACACTGAGTGGGATACATCCTGCTCTTGTTTGCACCAGTCTAAACTCCAAGTAACACTGCGGGAATTAAAGTTGTCTCTGTACTTCCCCTGGAGTAAGTTGCAGTAGCGTTTGGCCTTTAGGATTTAGAAATGGGAAATTCCCCCTTGGAATTAAAAATTAATCTAATGGGGTCAGTGAGGGGTAAAGACAGAACAGCAAGCAAAAGTTTAAAAAAGGTCAGTTTTGTAGCCACAGCTGCACTTTTTTGAAGTTACAGTCACACGGCTGAGTCAACGTAATGCTTCCCCATGGTGGCAGCAAAATCTGAGGGCCCACTCTCTTTCTGCCAGGGTTGGTTTGACCCTCTCTGTCCCTCTCTCCTTTTCCTCGCATCCCTCATCTCGGTGTTTGGTTTGTGTCTGTCACTCTAGCTGCTGAAGTTCGTTCCTGAAAAGAGCGATACTGACCTGTTGGAGGAGCATAAACACGAAATTGAGCGCATGGCCCGGGCGGATCGTTTCCTCTATGAAATGAGCAGGTCTGTTTGATACATTATGCAAAAGTGCACAGAGGGCTTCTTGGAAGCAGCTGTAGTTGTTATTGAAAATGGATCATCTGGCACTGAGAGGGAATGTGCAAGTGATTGTGGGCCAGCATTATACCCTGCATTTGCCAGAAGCCCACAAATGTTACAAATGTTTCAATTCATTACACAAACTTTTTATTGACGATAAGCCCTCTCCGTGCTGTCATTTAAGGACCGGTCCCCTGATGACAAGCAGAAGTCTGCCTCCTCTGCCTAAACTTGTTCACACAAAAAGGAATTCAGATCCAACTATCAGATGTAGTGTAGCCAGGGATCAGGATTTCATATAGATCCCTTTTTCCATTCAGCTATCCCACCTTCTCATCCTCTGACCTTCTTTCTTGTTCCAACTTTGCTATACCCCCAATCAGGATTACCACTTTGTTCTGCTAATTGAGATGAATCTGGCATCTCCCATGACTCACATATTTTGAGAGTAATGGGAATTCTTCTGGCTCCTTTTCAGTTGTGATCAAAACATGCCTTGAGGTCCTCCATTTTCATAACAAGGTTGATTATGTAGTGCTAGATGTTTGAACTGTGTCCATAATCCCATGCATAGGCCTTGTGGGACTCAATATCCAACCATTAGATTATGTAGGCAGCATACTGGCCCTGGGCTTCAAAATACAGTTCCAGTTAAGTGTTGGCTTTCCTCTACCCTTCATGCAGGATTGACCACTATCAGCAGCGGTTGCAAGCATTATTCTTTAAGAAGAAGTTTCCAGAGAGGCTGGCAGAAGCAAAGCCAAAAGTGGAAGGTATGGTTAAAGCTTTTGCTAAGAGTTGGGTAGAGGGGCAAGAAAGGTCAAGAGAGGTTTGTCTTCAAAGGAGGTGCTATTAGTTGCATGCTATGGTTGTAGAGCCAGTAAGTCCAAGGCATGTTGTGTGCTAAGAAATTAATTCTGTCTGACACTCTTCTTGCACCCATTGATAATAAAGTCAGTTTCATGATTCTTACACTGTAAATATGAACTGACAGATGTGACAGTGTCTTACCAGGCTGTCCTGAGCTGCCAAAAGCTTTCAAGGCCTTTCTGTGCGGGTCAGCCTTCCCTTCTCACCCCCATGTCCTTGTACCTTCCCTCTCCATGGGGCAGTTAGAATAGATGCCTCAGGACAGTGGCATTCTGGGAATGTGTAACTTACAAGGAGGGAGGGGTGTATGGCTTCTGTGCCACATCCATGGTTATCGCAGAGGTGACTGTATTCTACTCTGCATTTTCAGATGAGCTCAAGCCTTCCCCCTGTTCTTGCTGGCTATGTTTTTAGAGTGTGAGATCCAGGAGAATAGCCTTGCTCCTGGGTTCAGAAGAGCATCCTACAGGCTAAATGTAGTGCATCTTCCTTCCAGTTGTCCTGGTTCTGGGCATGTGGGTGCAGGAAAGACAGTACGCACACAGACTGTGTTGCAGCATTTGCTGGACAATAGTCAGATGGGCATTTTAGGGTACTTCAAATTATGGGCCCAAGAATGTTAAAAACAGCCACTGTGCAATAACTTGTTCATTTTTTTTCTCTTTTCAAGCCATCCTTCTAGCATCCAAAGAACTCATCCGAAGCAAGCGTTTGAGGCAACTCCTGGAGGTAGTTCTGGCCTTTGGGAATTATATGAACAAAGGCCAAAGGGGAAGTGCATATGGCTTCAAAGTCTCCAGCCTGAACAAAATTGCAGACACCAAATCCAGCATAGACAGGTAGGCTAGAAGGCTGTAAATGAGTTAGTTACTGTGCTGCTGCATCTCTTACCATAGTAATGAAAGTGGTTTTGTTTGTTTTTAGCTCTGTAGACCATTTAAAGTAATGTCTCATTTGGCATTTAAGTAGTGCTTTTCACTCTAAAAGATTCTGCAGCAGTTAAGACCAGCTATTAACACAGCACTCAAATTCTGCTCTTTCTTTGGATAATGCACATCTGTTGTTGGATTGTGTTTCTGCAATACTATGCAAAGATGACAAAATACAGTATTTCATAAATAACTGAAATAAGTTGGGGCGGGGGGAGATTTCTATGGAGTTTGCCCTTTATCCCAAAGTTTTATGGCCATGGTTTTGCAAAAAAGAAAACACAAAACACTCTGGCCACAGTTTTATGTCTCCTGTGAAACATGGTCTATGTTTCTCAGGCAGGACTGTCATAACCTGGCTCTCTACCTACACCAGTAATGGAACCACAAGGCATAGCTCAGAGAGACTAAGCCTGGTTGCATCTGGAGCAGTTAAGGAAAATAGCTGGTTTTGGGAAGGTGGAGCTTACTATTTATTGATATGGGCTGCAGGTCCTTATAGAGCTACCCCATGTTTTGCCCCACATCCACATGCTGGTTCTGGAAATTAATCAGCTGTGACTGGGGAGAGAATACCACTTTTGGGCTCCAGCAGCACTAAGGTTTTCCTTGCAGATCTGAGATACTGGTTCTTACTAACTCATGCCTTCCTTGACTTGTGGGACCTGCTGAGACCATAGTTGTGGTGAAATGACTTCAGGCTGTGACAGAATGAATAATGGCAGTAAGAAGCCATAGGAAATTCATCCCTACCTAATGGAGTTTGAACTAACAGAGTTGTGTTTTGACTACCACAATGTCCTTTCTGTACTCCAAGGCTAACACTTGTGTAGCTAGTGTTGAACGATTTTTTGCCTTAATGTAGCTTGGCTTGATTTTCCATATATTAAATGTCCTGTGCAGATTCTGTTCTCTCACCAGTTCCCAGCTCCCAGGCTCTACTCTGTGTGAAGCAGTGGCCATCTGCTGTCTTGCCTGTCAGTTAACAACATAACACCCACCTCAAGTAGCTGTTATGGCTGGCTGTTCTCTCTACATGAAAAATTCACTGATGCAAAATTCATCATTTATTTTAGAAATTTTCTTAAACCTCCTCCTGCATCTCTCATACATCTCATTTCTATCCACTCCTACTTGAGCTGCCATTGCTTTTGTAGTAGTAAGCCTGACAACTACTCATAAGTATAGCCATTTCATTACTGTAGGAGTCGTCTTTGCAGCTTCTTCAATCTTCAAAACATTTTCCTCTTCTTAGTTAACTCTTATGCTTTTTCCACATTGCCTCTGAGGACAACTCACTTCTCCCTTACAAGTTAATGTCACTTTAATACTATTACTTGTTTATTCTCTGAAGTATCTGAGGACAAATAGTATACCATGTTACACAATTTTCTTTTCTGTTACACCATCTACATAGATGGATGGAAGCATGCTGGTGCTTCCAGAATAAATCAAGGCACAATATATTGCTTGAGGTTTTAGGAAGGATGGTTCATAAAGGGCTAATTCATTTCAGTCTGTGATACTTTTCTTTCAATAACAGAGCTGCTAACTGCTAATATATTGTTTGTTTTGTTCACTCAAGCACATTTCCTACCCAAATATTTTTCACTGATTTGTCACAATCCTCCCACCATCCTTTTCCTTCTCACCACCATCTTTCTTCTCATTTCTCCCTTCTTTTTTTTTTTTTTTTTTTTTTTTTTTTTAGGAACATTACACTGTTGCACTACTTAATTATGATCTTCGAAAAGAATTATCCAGATATCCTAGATATTCAGTCTGAGTTGCAGCATCTTCCAGAAGCAGCAAAAGTCAAGTAAGTCCAGTGCTATTGCTTGTTCCCAGAGCTGGAGTTGCCCGTGATTTGTGTTAACTTCATGATCACCATTTTTTTCATTTCTGTCTTCTAAACTCATGGCCTTACAGCTGAAATGCCTTTGCTCACATCCTTGATGTTATTCAGATGTACATCAACAGAATTTTGGTCCAAAAGCATTTGCAGATAACTAAATTGACAGCTTTACTCAGATATGCCTATATCTACTTTATTTCTGAACCAGACATTGCAAATAGACTGGTTGTTGTTTGTAATTCACTCACCATATTCTATGGTTGCTCATCTAAGTCATGTGCTATTTTTTCTGGAAGACTGAAGATTTGCTTCTAAGGCAGAGTCAATTAGGCACAGAGGCTATAATAAGCCCTTTTCAGGAAGATTGTTCAAACTTTCGCACAAATCAGTCTTGCACAGAAATGTGGAAAGCATCATACTTTCTGCACAGACTTCAGTGATTTTTTTTTTCCATTTCTGTAGGTGTTTGTGGAAAATGAATACACAAGCCATCCTCCAAAATACTAGCATTTTTTTCTTTCCAAAGCACTGCTCAGAAATACCTTTGCATATTATTTGCCCGGCCATGATTCTTTGTATAGGGAACTACTGCAGCTAATGAAAGACAATTAAAAAATAAATGTAAGTTCACACTTGAGGGCATTTATTAAGGCTTTGGTGGTGTTTTTGAGATGTAAACTACTAGTCACCAAATACTTGGAGGAGGTGCCTGCTGACTCAGAAAGAGGTACTAAGTAGTTACCGGGAAATTAAAAGTCATTTTTTTCATACAAGTTGTAGAGTTTTTTAAGTCTTGTTCACATATGATGAGCAGAAATTCAGTACACTTATGTCTAAGGAAGCATGTATTAACAGTAGGGTAATATGCTCAGTTACAATGTAAGCTCACAAGGACTACCATATGGCAGAAATGCAGATGGAAAAAACAATGTTTGGACTGTGAGGAAGACAAAAATCACATGTAAATATACTGCTAATGGGACTTAGTAGTTAAGTGGTTCAAGAATCATATGTAGAGATAATCTGAGACCTCAGTAATGTGTATGCTAAAGCTGGGGTCCTTGCTTATGTGTCAGCTGATTATTGCAAGCTGGCCATGTGGCATATGCTTCTTGCTGGAGGGTCAGGCTCAGCTCACAGGGCAGATGTTCTGAGGACAGCACCCCTCTTCTTCCCAGGAAAATCCTGATCTTCAGTGTGACCACAGGCAAGCAGGGTCTGCCTCATCTTACATCTCATATAAAAAGCAGCACAGAGCATTAACAGACCCCCTTCTCCTCATTTCTAATCATCTGGCATGGCTGGTGCCAGAGGCCGGATACCAGACTTGATGGGCCAGTGGTCTGTTCTGCTGCACAGTTCCTGTATTCCTGTGTAACACTGCTCTTTTTGTTTTATCTGCTCTGTGTCTGTCTCCTGTGCAGCCTGGTAGAGCTGGAGAAGGAAGTCAACAACATAAAGACCGGATTGAGAGCTGTTGAAGCTGTAAGTATCTGAAGGTTTCCAAAGCACCATACTTAAAATATCTCACTCAGAATCAGGGGCACTATATATTTTATGATAAGAGAAAGTGGGCTTTCTTTTTCCGTTCCTTTCCATTCTGTTCCAGAATGCATTAACCAAGAAAAAACAAATAAAAGCTTCTCATGTGGAGCTCCTGCTGATGATCTTAGCAGACTTAAAACTAATGAAAAGCTTGTTTGATCTCGGCCTGGAAAGTAAAAGGACAGTTTGACAAATGGCATGGAGAAGAAATAAAATTCTTGCTCTTTGTTCCTGAGGGATGGCTGGCTGCTGAGCAAGTGTTTCACATGGCTCTTGGAGTAGTAGTAAACAGGTAGTGCACTACTGTATATGCAACCTAATCTATCCTAAGCACTCCTCGGGAAGGCAAAGGAAAAGGTAGACTAATTAAAGATGAGGGAGCCGAGCTGGCAAGCAAAGCAACAATGGTGGGTTTTTGTGTGCTATTAATGAAAGCCTTTTAAGCTGGACTTAGATTGCCTGTGTTCAGCTTGTACTTAGGTAGTGCAGAGCCTTCCATCTCAACAGAGAACAGTACAAAAGGTCCCTGCTGTGTTTAGCTGTTCTTTGCCTTTTCAAACAGGGTTTTATTAGCCACACTTCTCAGTGTCCCTCTGTCTTCAGGATGTTTCACCTGTCTTTTTCAGCTCATGTCAGTTTAATGCTGGTGGAGCATTCCAGTTGGGGAGCATTTTGCACTGGGACTGCTGGCAAAGGGACCACTTGTTGGAAATTGCATTGGGTGGTTTCTGTGCAAGGATTACCTATCTACAAGGAACTAACACAAGGACCCTCCAGTCCTTCTCATCCACTATGAGACAGACAGTGATGACTTCGTATTCCTTTCACCTGGCCTGAATTTTGTTTGGCTCTGGGGGTAGAGGAAGGGGTCTTTGTGCTGTCAGCAGCCCCTAGGGTGTCTCCAGCAGTTCATCATGTAATTAGCCAGTGATTAAAACTGTGAAAAAACAAACTTTCCAAACCTTATTTCTGGATTGTTGGGGTAAGGGAGAACGCAGCAATGAGAAGAGATACTGCTGCATACATGGAGTGCAGTGTTTGGGAATTAAAAGCACCTGTAAAGGGAAGGCTGACATGGAGTTCATGACATGAAAAGAGGCCCAGTTTTGGCTGGGACAGACAATTCCCCCCATTGAAACCTGAGTACCTACTTCTGTTTTGCTTTCTGTGATGGGGTTATTTGTCCTTTTGCCTTGACAGCCAATTTTTTCTTCTCTTTCCCATACACGGGTTCCATGGGCAACCTCTCCTTCCCATTCAATCACCATCTTCCCTCCTCAGTCTTCTCCCTGCCATGGTATTTTTCATCTGAAGCTGCCAACACCTCCCAGTCTGCTTGCTCAATTTGTGGTTTTCTGGTGTGTAAAAAGCAGCACTATAGCAACAATAGAAGATCACTGTCAGGTGGAAGGGGGAGGAGGGGAAGGTGTGATTCTTGATTCCATTCCAGTGTGTTCTCACCACAGCCTTGGCTCCAGTGACTGTGAGGTTTCTTCGAGGCCCCTTAAGAATAGGAAGCTAAAAATAGTTTCACAGTCAGATGTTCTTAAAGGTACTACTAACACTTTGCCTTCCTGGACTTCCAGCTTCTTTGTAAAACTAAAACATACTCGTTTTCAAGACAGCCATGCAGCTGTTGCCTTTCTGCAGGATGCTCCCAGAAGGACAGCTAAATAGTTCTTGCTCTTCTCCAAATCAGGAAGTGAATTCTGTCAGCAGAGCCCTTCTCTCACACAGCAAGGAGATCATAACCACCACTTAAGAAACCACTGCTATGGTTGAATCATTTAATCTCTCTAGAGAACCAGCAGCCCAGCCCACAAGGGGCAGTGCTAGCTTCTGCTATTGTGCTGTTATAGCTAGTATAGACCATTTCTAGAAGAGACAGAATTGTTTCTTATTCTCTGGGATCGCTCTTGGGCTGATTACATAGTCATGCTGGTTACTTGTGTGGGTTTTTTTATTTTGGAAGAATTATTCTGCTAGGAAGGACTGAATTTGAAATTGAAGGGCAGACCACCTAATCTTAATTTTACTTTGAAAAACATTGCTTTCCAGTAACAGTCCCAAATGCCATGGCTTTCAACAGTGGGTAAGATGACAAAACTGTTATACTCACCTGCTTGGGGAGGTAGGGAAGGAGAGAAGAGAGCAACTTTCAGTTAAAATTAGCTTAAAACTTAGAATGGGAAAGAG